GTCTTTTGGCTGATGATCCCTTCCTTCCATCAGGGCAGCTTCGCTGACATCTTTGTTCATTTACCCAATACCAACTTTTATGAACAGAAGTAACTAGACTCCGCCTATCCCACAGAAACACATACCGTGGCAAAATTTGTTCATGACTTCAAGTTGGTGCTTAGCTGGGCAGAGGAAAACCTGGAAATGGGGGGCTGCCCACAATGGAGGTGGGAGCCATCTAGAGGCATGCATAGTCAGGCAGTGCTGGGTAGGACATGGGGAGAAAGCTAAAGGTTGGAGCAACGCAGCCCTTGGGTTTGTGTGGGAAAGGCAGAGGCTGGTCTAACAAGTAGTAACGTGATGGGGCTTAGCTTAGTCATGGGCAGAAAGTCAGGAAGCAGGCCCAGGGATGGAGTTGGGCAGCCAGGTAGGTTGACAAAAAACCCTGGCAACAGAAAGATACCGGAGAGGAACTGGGGCCTAGAGAGGGTTGTCAGAAGAAGACCATCAGCCATGTTGAGAAGAGTTAGGATACCAGGTAGGTTATGAAGGCAGAGATCCTGAAAGACAGAAGCTCAGTCTCTGCACCTGAGGTAGGAGCTCTGTTATTAGAATTGGGGCATGGGAATAAAGTAAGAAAAGCAGAAATACTGATATGATTCTTAGTTTCTGGCTTGCAGTTGCTTACATTTCTCCTAATAAATAAGGGGATCGGTGTTCCAGCCTGAAATGCATTTGATCCTCTAGGTGAGGAGATTCCAAGATCGCAATGCGAAATATTTTATATTTTCCTGGTGATCTGGACTTATTAGGTATTTAATAAATCTATAAATTCACTGATTGAAGAGAGAACCTGTATGGATTAAATCAATACTTTAATTAATTTTCCTATTGAACCTTGGCAAGAGGCTCAATAATTTTATGACAAGTATATGGGAGGTAATTAGATGGACTAGTTTCTAATCTCAACTCTTCTACTTACCCACTTCACTTTTAAGCAAATTACTGAGGATTTTTGAGACTGATTTTCCTTAACCTATAAAATAACAACAATAATACCAATGTTATTTTAATATTACCATCAATAAGAATATCCATAATTTGTCAAGCATTTCTTTTGAGTCAAGTACTGTATGAAGCACTTTAAAGACATCTCATTTAACTGTTGTAAGGAATAAATGAGGCATCATAGTCAACATGCCAGGCCCAGTGCATGGGACATAGTATGCCACTCACACACGTGGAAATCCGTGTGTATGCTGATGCACAGTAGGATATATACTATTAACGGTAAGCTGGGAATTCTGTGTTTTAGAGGGCAGGAGAAAGAGTGATCAAGTAGACTGAGACGAAATAGAGCTTGGTCAGATCAGAGGAAGAAACCAGATATCATATCAGTGACATACCAAAGGTAATTCTTTTCTTGAGAGCCCTTCACCTCTAGTTATAAAGTAGAATTGGCCTCAGTGACCAATATGCTAGTCTTCCCATGTGTCACCCAAGGGATACTGCACTTCTGATGTATCTGATGCAAAGCAGTGAGTGATAAGCCGATCTCTGTCCTTAGTACAGAAGTCCTTTTGGGAATGTTGGTTTGGCTCAGTACCTAGCAGAAGTTTCAGTGTAACTTAGGACTCACAGCCATGTTTGAGTAACCTACTCTCTTGTTTTGAATTTCCCCAGAAGCCAACTTGGAGATAAGAGTTTGGCTGCAAGTGTTTTTTTTGGAGATGATCCCAGGAGTGTTATAAGGGAGGAGAGAAGTAAGAAGAAGAATGAAGGAAAGCAATAAAAGTGTGTTGATAAGAGGATTTCTACTGTGGGCAACTAAGCTCACTCCTCCAGGGTACTCTTTAAGAAACTGTGTAGTGTTAGGGAGCCGGGAGTATTTAATCCTACTCTCCTGCCTCTTTGGTGGAGGTTGTACCTTACACAGGCATTAACTGCCCAACACTCATCCCTCAGGTGGAGCAATGCAGGTGTCTGAGAGAGGAAGCATAGGTGTGTAGAATTTAGTGGTCCAGAAAGCTAAATGACTTGAGGGAGCGAAGGGGTGGATAAGGGGATGGGAGAATCTGGCAGGACTCCAGCAGCATCTGCTAAACTCACCTTCATATATTGAAGGCATTCAAGTTGTTAAATCTTCATTTCAGATTTGAAAGTCCTTAAATTACCATCTTATCCCCAAATAGGGCATTTCTTTACTATTGTTAATATTTTATATTCTCTGAGTAGGTGCTGATTTATTTCTTCAGTTCCTATGACACTGTAAACATTTTCTTTCAGGTGGCCTTTCTAAACATTAATCTACAAGTGAGCAGGAAATAAAATAGTCTGAATAGTCCCTATTAAATAAGTATTGAGACATAAGCAGATCTCTAGAGTATGTGCAAGCTTAAAGGAAATAGTAATGTTACATTCAGAAACGGACACTTTGAGCCACAGGAAAAGGCATGCATTAAGCATATCTACCGCGTTTCAGGCTTGGAATTCTGACCTATAGGGATCTGGCTAGATTTCTCCTGCCTTTCAGGGTACATACTGAGCAAAATATACTGGTTCTGCTAAATGAGAGAACATTTGAATGTAAATTTCTTTGTCTGAGAATTATTTTCTAAGCACCTTGCAACACCCAGCCTAGAATTCAGATGCAAATAAGGCCTAGCACCCATGGGCTATAAAGACAGTGATTAGTGTTTGGAGTAAAAATGTTCTTCTTAGGACCTTCTACTTCCCTGGGTGCAATTATCTCAGTGCCCAAACCATACCACTGAAATCCATTCAGATTTCTAAGTCATACTCTGAGTCTGGTGAAATTAAAGTTTGAACTTGCAAGTAATACTCCTTTCAGATGAGGTTTTACAGTCCTAATTTCAAGATCATTATCTTGTATTTGTGTCTCCCTGTCCTTAAATTAAAGCGGATCAATTATGAAGGAGGAAATACAGGAGGAATAGACCTACCCTCAGTTCTGGTAGGAGAGTTTGGGCTCCTGGAAACAAGCTGGGTGCTTGATCAAATAATGGAGGCTGGGTGCCTCTCCTTACAGAGGTCTTGACACACTGAGCAGTGCAGTTGGCAATACTAACATGACTACATCTTGTTATATATGATAAGGCATGGGTATTATTGTTAAACTGTCTGGGGGAAATCCAAGAGTAATTTCAATCTTTTGTCTTATTATAAGGGCTATTCACTAGCAAGAAGATGGGCTCCTGTGATTTTCACAGCCTATGATGTCTTTCTTTGTATACTATTTGGTGACAAACTATATGTATCAGGGATGGGAGATGAGAAAGGAGAAGACTGTTTAAGTCATAAAAATCTACAACTAGCTCATGAATAACACATCTTAATTGTTATTTTGTGTTATACTTTGCAGATAACTTTAGATATTTATGTGGATAGTGGAAGGAGTAATATTTATGGTCCATCCCTGTCAAGTTTTAAAATAGAATTTGACACTGGAAAGTACAAAGTAGGCATAAGAATCCTTTCTGAAGGGTTCAGATGATAAAAAATAAAGTAAGCTAGTAGAATACTCAAGGGAACCTGATATCCTAGAGGATTTGTGAAGGTATTTGGTTTATCATAACCTAACTTGTGTTTTTACTAGAATTTGAAAATTATTCAGAGGTACCTGTCACAGAGTATTCATATTTCAGTTCTGGGATACGTTTCTGACTGAATTTGTTTGCAGCTGAATTTCTGGAAATTTTATTAGCAGGCCATTCTTAAATTCTCGCCTAATTTTTTATTCTTTTTGAGATATTATTGATTTTGTTTTCCTGAATGCAATTTTATATGGCAATATCTGTGCAGAAGCGATTTGCTGTGGTTCAAGGAACAGGATTCTTATGGGCATTTGTCTTAGTAATGTGATTACAGAGTCACTAACTTGATCTTAGTAACATTTGTCTATTATCGTGTATTAGATGCATGAGAGGAAAACTGCTTTCCAAGGCAGAGGATTACCCCTGAGTATCTCCTTTAGTTGCTAATGCCTTGCAAAATTAATGTCCAGGTGATTTTGAGTGGCTATTTGCATTATTCGAAACTAGTTAGGATTAGATCCAAATATTATCACCAATGTTGCATGCAGAGAGGAAATTACTTTTTTAGTACACCTTAAGAAACTTTTAAATCATTGACTCATACATTTTATAAATGAGCCATTCTGTACTTCATCAGATACTGTTTTTACTCTGCTGTGGCTACAGGAGGCAGCATGATACAAAAAGCTTAGACTCTGGAGTCAGAGAGCAGTAGTTAGAATCTTACTGCATTGCTCATTATCTGTGATCTAGGTCTGTGAGAATCCACCACTCTGACCCTCAGTTTCCTCATCTCTTCAAGACAGACTGACATAACAGCATCCCTATTCCAGTTTCCTATTTAAAAATGGTAACTGCACCTCCTCACTAAAAGTACTCAGTTCCTTTTTAAAAGATTTTCCCCTCCTTTTCTTAAAGCAGATAGTGGTAATATAAAAAGATAATCCTGTCTACAAAAAGACTTACATGAGATTTATTAACAATATCCCCAAACTAGAAACAGCTCAATAGGAGAATGGATAAGCAAATTGTGGCTTATCCATGCAATGGAAGACTACTCATCAGTAAAAGGAAAGAAAAACTACTGATCCATGCAACAACTTGGATGACTTATAGACATTATGCTGAACAAAAGAAGCCAGACACCAAAGTGGACATATTGTCTGATTCCTTCTACATGAATTTCTAAAACCGGCAAAACTCCTTTTTTGTGATAGAAAAAAATTGATTACCTCCAAAAGTAGAGTCTTGATGGAAAGAGTCAAGAGAGAACTTTCAAGGGGTGATAGAAATATTCTGTCTTGATCTGGGTGGTGCTAATACGGTTCATATATTTGTCAAAACTTGTTGAATTGTGCAATTAAATCGAGTGTTTTATTGAGTACAAATTATACTTCAAAGAAAAGACAACTCATCCATCCATTAAATGTTTAATTTTCTAATAACCAGTTTTGGGATTCTCAGGATGCAGTGACCATCTGTACTCTGGGAATTGGAACGGCCTTTGGAGAGTCCATTCTGGACAACACACCCCGCCATGCAACCATCGTTACCAGGGAGAGCAGTGAACTGCTCCGCATCGAGCAGAAGGACTTCAAGGCTCTATGGGAGGTGAGCCCCAAGGCTTCTTCGTCAATTAATGTGGTTGCAGAAAAGAAAAGGAGCTGCCGCATGGATAATGGCATTACAGTCAGGCCTTAATGTGCTCCGTTCTGAGCTGGTAGATGGAATTTAATTTTCAAAACTTGTTTTTGAAATGAGTGAGCGAAAAAGCCATTTTGACACAAGACATCTTTTTTTTTTTTTTTTTTAATTTAGTGCTTGCTCAATTTTCTGTAGTTTGACATACCTTATAATTATTTCTTGAATGACCATAGAGTGTTTTATGTATTTCCTCCCTCCTATTCCACAGATGTATTCTTAACCAGGGAACAAAAAACTTTGACATTTTCTTTTGCATTTTAAAAATTATCATTGACATGTTCCCTGGTAAAGTGGAATGAATGGGGTTAACATCTGCTTCATTTAAATGCTTTTAAAAACGATGTGCCCTATAATAAGGTGTGGGAAATGAGGGACATAAAGATGTCTGGTTACCTGCCAACTTCAAAATGCATAGGTGGCACAGCAGTAGATGGATGCAACTGGTCCTGGTGACTTTTGCATTTACCACTGCTTACCAGTGTGCCTTAGGGTACTGCACTCATTTACAAGAAGTACGGGGAATAAATCATCTTATATGCAGTAATGGCAAATGGAGCACTTAGAAAGGCCCAGCTAAGCCTTGCATCTTTCATGCTCATTCCTTTTCAATTCTTCAAGCTTCTGATTTTAACCTGTGGTTGTTCCTTATCTTTGTCCTTGGCTCAGTATGTCCAAGTGTTAACCCATTGAGCTGGCAGGCTTCGCCACTTGTCCCAGTGTGGCTAAGATTTTAAACTTGATCTAAAAAGAATTTTGTGTAATCAAATAGTTTCCTCCAGAGCCAAACAAATGACAGATGCATTAAGGGAGCAAACCTGCCGGTGAATGAGTGATGCTTTCCCTAAAAGTCCTGCAAAGCCTTGGAGGGCCCTGGTGGTGAAACCTGTTACTTTTATTCTTGGCAGTAGTGAATAAATTGCAGGGTTACTTGTTTGAAATGTTTCTCTTAGAAAATATTAAAGAGCTCCAACAGCTCTGTAAAGTTCAGAGACAAAAGCTAGTTTTAGGAAGGCAAAGCTAAAGTAGGTTTGCATGAGGTGTATATGGAGAGATTTTCTGTCAATTAAAAGGAACCAAGCTTGAGGCAAATAAGCCATTTTTTGGATCTTTCATTTTAAAAGGTAAACTGAAAAAGTCTTTTCCTAAAAGGAAATTTAGAAAACCGGTTGAAGAACAAAAAAGATTCCTACCTGTGATGTGTGTCATTATAAGACCTTTTGTCTCTGATGACTGATTCAAGTTGCTGATAGAGAATGATTTGTGGAAATATTAAAAACGTATTTTAATTAGGAGCCCTCCATGTTGTGAAGGAAGTTCCTGAGAAGTTGCTACCTGTGAATATTTTTTGACAAATTATTATTAAAAAAATTTCAAACGTACTGGAAATCAAAAAGAATAATACAATGAACACCTGATATACCAGTACTTAGTTGGACAACTGTTAACATATAGTCATATTTGCTTCCTCATTTTTTTGGAACCACTACAATGTAAATGATAGACATTTCATCCTATATATTCAGCATATATCTCTGAAAAAATTAGAGTATTCTTCTACATACCTATAGCATTATATTTTCTACAAAACTAATAATAAGTCTCCGGCGCATTGAGCAACTCGGACATCGCACACTGGCAGCTGGGCAGTCTTGCTCAGCTGCTCAGCCCCGCACCGCACCGCACCCTGTGGGCTTCAGCGGCCAGCACCACTCAGCTCTGCAGCGCCCCGTTAGAGTTGCAGTACAGCCTTTGCCCCACACAGCCGCTAGCTGCTCATGTCCACTTGGGACTGGCGGGCGCAGGGCTTCGGTGCTCGGTGCTCGGTGCTCGGTGCGCCCAGCTGGCTCTGTCTGCCCTGCTTCCTCCTCGTAAAGCAGGCAGTCATAACTGGACCCCGCCTGGCCGCAAGTCCAGCCCACTGATCTTTCCTTAGGGCAGCCCCAGATCTGAGAGCCTGGCTGCTCAGCCTGCTGCGAGATGAGCTGCTTTGGCTTCAGGCAGTGTGTGGAGGTAGAGATCAAGCTGAGCGCTGCCTGGGAGAGTAGGCAGCGTGCTGAGGCCAAGACGGAGGACAGGAAGCATGAAAAGTAATTCTTCTTCTACGATGGAGAGATAGTCTCCTGGAAAGTGGGCCTCGCACTCAAGCACCCCAACAAGCGGCTGGAGCACTAGGGATCAAGACTGAGTTCATCGGGCGGATCAAACTACTATGACCGTGGGAAGCACCATGACTTTGTGTCCCTGGTGAAGGACTTGGCCCAGCCTGGAGAAATTACCCAGTCGCAGGCCTTTTGCTTTCAATTCACCTACGTGGAGACGCCGTAGAAGTCCTACACCAGGCAGAATGTGAAGCTCAGGTACTTCCTTTGAGCTACCATCAACCACCACCTCAACGATGTCAGAGATAGACATCGTAGCTCATACACAATCATGTTTTTGACTTAAATTGTTTTTTTCTGAAGAACCTAAGGGGCTTGGGCTAAGCAGTGTCCTTGGAATTCCGAGGTTGATGTGGGAATAGCAAGAGGTAACATTCCAGAAGCTAATGTCTCTGGGAAAAGAACCTTTTATTGAAGCTTTGCACGTGGGCTGCCTCACATCCTATCTGAGAGCAGAGTGCCATCTTCCTTGGCATCTGTTCTCTGGTTTCCCAACACAGGATCTGACTCATGTGCCTGAGATTCTGAGCTGTCAGTGGGGCCCCAGGTAGTCACATCTTGTCTTCCCCTAAGATAATAGTAGAAGTAGTTGGGCCTGCCCTATCCTAAATGGCCAGGGGGCAACTCAAGATCAGGAAGCTACCTCTTTGGGAGTCTCGGATGTAGTGCTCTGATGTTTCCACAAGCTGCCTCCTTTCTGGCCTTTCTCTCCCTGCTGGGACCTAGGCATCTCCGTTCTCCATCTAATATAGATTCGCATCAGTAATATCCTGGAATGGAAGCCTGTGGAAGGGCCTTTGGTTGATTGTCCCCTCACCTGTGAGAAATTCTGGCACAGAGACAGCCTGGGGGCAGTGTCATGCACGGATGGCAGCAGCGTCAGACACAGGAGGCCAAGGCAGCCCACTGAGGAAGTATAATCACTGTGCATAGGAGCTGTCTGTCTTCACCATGTGACTCCATTCATCAGCCCTGAGTGCTGGGTGGTTTCAAGGTATTGTTCTGTGTGCCCCACAAAGCCTGAACAAAGTCATCTGTTTTCTTCAAGAACAGGTTCCGTTATGTAGCCTCGATCCTGCTTCCCTAAGTGATGAGCAGATCCTTATCACTCCTTGCTCTTCACTTAATTTCTGAGAATTGGGGCTGGGTTTCAAACACTTGGAACTTTGGTCCTTACTATTGCCCAAGCTCCTTCACTCCCTTCCTAAACCTAAGAATTAAGGGAGGGCAATGTGATATTCAGCAGAATACTCCGCCACGTAACTTCAGAATAATTCTGCTTGCTAAATTATGTCTTCATCTTCACCAGTTGACTGACCAGAGTTTAGGACCATTGGTGTCTTTGTTTAAAAACACATATACAAAAATTCTTGTGAATATTCTTGATATACTAGAGGAGAAGGATTTCCCTCTGTTGTGCTGTGCTTGGGTTTATTATAGTAAATGTTGACATCCTTTTCTGCATCATCTGGAAATGACCAGGAATTACTCTCCTACTGGCCTCCTTTCCTTTGTAGGAAGACCAAGCAGAACTCACTGGCCAATAAGTATAATATTTGGCAGTGTGAGTGGTCTGTAATTTGGAAAGCAAGGAGGTTGGTATCTTTCAGTTAGGAAAGATAGAAAAAAGGGACTTCTCTTTTCTTCAAAAATCAGTGCAATCGTGGGCCTTTGACTGGGCAATTGAGACTGTTGGGAAAGGCATTTGGATAACACTTGGGGTTGACTAGGGGCAGCAGAACCAAGGGAGGTAGGGTGGTTTCCCTCATGCTAGACCCTGAGTTCAAGTACTGTGGACAATCCCCATGGGAACAGGATTACCCATCCAGCTGCCCCTGGATTTTCAAGGTTGGAGCTTAAGTGTACGGGGGAGACAGGTTCTGTGTTCTTTGCCTTTTTCAGATCATGAGATCAGGCTCTGGTATGCCTCCCATAATGGATAGTATTCTAACCAGATAGCATCTGTCAGTTCCTCTGCCTCCCCACTTACAACACAAATTTACTTTCCAGCTTTATTAGTATCTTAAACCTTTCTTCTGGGAGAACTAGAAGATAGAATTTGCTTTTATTCTCTCAGGAGCCGTACACAAGCCAGGTCTTCTGCATTCTCCTACGCTGCCCCCATTCTCTACTTCTCTGTCAACTGTTAAAGTGAAGGGAGCCTCCTTTAAAGATTCATATACCTGGGAGTATATAAGTACTAAACTAAGCAGTGTAGCTTTTAATTAAGCAGCTGCAGTTTACCTGTTTCTTGATATATTGTCTTTTCAAAGGCTGAATTTTAAAAAAAGAACACTTGTTTCAGTTGTCTGCCTGATTAAAGAAAACCTCTATAGCTTGGAGGCATTATGCCCATGGTCAAAAAAAAAAAAATTCTAATGTCAAATAATACTCAGTCTACAGTTCAAATTTCCCCAGTTGTTCCATAAATATATTTTATAGCCTTTTTTTTTTTTCAACATCAGGATCAAATAAAGAACTATGTATTGTACTCGATTGTTATATCTGTCAGTCTCTCTCTCTCCCTCTCTTTTTTCCCATCCCTTCCTCCTTCTGCCTCCTCTCTTTCTTTTGCTCTCCATGGCATTGACTTGTTAAAAAGGCCAGGTCAGTCTCTTTCAAATTCAAGATTTGTCTGCTTGTTTTCTCCTGGTATCTTTTATATTCCTAGGGCAGGGTTTCCTGTAAATGGAAGCTAGGGCTAATCGAGCCAAGCATTTTTGGCAAGAAAACATCAAAGGTGATGCCTAGTACATCGGGAGGTTTGTAATGTCTGGTTGCCTCACTATTAGTGATGCTGAATTTGATCCCTTGGTCAGATTGTATCTGAGTACATTTTAGAGTTATTTTCCACAGATATAGTTCCCTTAAAGGAAAATTGTTAAATGGGGGTATTGGTCTTGAGGATGGTCCTTGGTGTCTCACACCTCCACAAGATTTTGCAGCTCACTGGGTCCAAACCTCATCTGTAACCTCAGAGCATGGTTACTGATCTCCCCTGCCAGTGACTTAGTGAGCTGAAAAGATGGGTAGATCTCTTCTTTAGTGTGATCTCTTCTTTCACTGGTAGGGGATAGGAATCTCATATTAAGATATTAATCATATACTTCATTTTATTAGCCTGTTCATGCAATGCAACTGAAAGTGCAGAGTTCAAATTAGGGGGTTAATCAATGTTTTAAGTGGCTAAAATAAAAATGTAAGAAACTCCACTGTCTGTGTTAATCAGAACTTTATTAATGGGCATACTTGTACGTATACGGTACATGATAATCCTAAGAAATTGTAAAATTCTAAAGTACCTTTTGAATAGAAAAGATTAAATTATGTTTAATCTACTGTTTATTCAACAAGTACATATTGAGCATCACCTGTGTATCAGGTATGGATACAGC